TTTTTGTATAACCATAAAATTGGTAAATTAATAAGGAGGGGGACTCTCAGCTCTTATTGAATAAATGATATTCCAAGGAGTAGGGGCGTTTGTTTTTTATTAGCCTAGGGGCGACTTTTAAGTAAATCCGGCCCTGATTATGCCTATACTGAAATTATCATAAATGCAGTTTAGTTTATATTAAAAACGTCCCGTTAAAATATTAAATATTCTTTTATAATGTTTTTCGATCAAAATTATAATCATTAATGGAACTGCATTTAAAATAAACTAGTATATTGTTCGGTTTGTATTTAATAGATGACTAATTAATACAGAGCTTGTATATTTTACATAATAGATATATAAACACAGTTATAATAAGCATAGGTATTCTTAATATTAATAATATATATTTTAGTAGTACTTACTATTGCCTGATCCATAGTCTTTGATCAACTTATTTTTATAAACTACGATACCTTCAATAATAACTTCACGTGATAATGCTCCTCTTTTTGACATTTTTACATCAATAGACACGACAAAATTAAATGTATATAATACCTATATGGAGGCTGAATGTGGAATAAAATATTTTTAATAACAATCGTATTTTGTTATTATAATAAACCAATGGGTAAAATTAATATACTATTTTTAGATAATTAAATATGTGTACGTATATAGGAATTCTCAAAATGAATAACAATAGAGACATTATTTTGTTTATATGTTATCTTTAAAGCCATATTTAATGGTATGTATGAAACAAAAGTTAATTTTGTACGAAAAAACTAACTTACTTATTATATATAAAACAAAAATATAATAAAATATATTAAATTTTAATAATATCATATTAAATTGCAAAATTGACAACATACATTAACAATAATAAAGATACAAAATATTAAAACTTTACAACCCCCTGTCATTAATAAACATAAAATCAACGAACAAGTAAATGTTATAGTTTATAATGATTTGATTTGACTAATATTTTTTTTTGATCAAATATTTTGTATAATATTACACAAGATAGCAGGTAATTTAAATAAATCAAACCATATAGTAGCTAATAATTAGCTACAAATAAATATTAATTATTTTGGTTACATAATATTTATCGATATGAATGGCATTTAAAAAGTAACTAATTTAGTAACTATCCAATGATGATAATGATTTTTTAAGTCACTTACTTTATAATCTTTACATAAACTACAAATGAGGTGTAAAAAAAAAATTTGTAATTTGAATAAAGTATTTCCCCAGCCCCCCCCCCACCAAAATTTTGATTTAAAAAAAAACTAAAACTCTGCAAACGAAAAAATTACATTACAAACCAATACAAACCGGCTACAAACGAGGGGTATGATTAAATTAAGAAAATTTATTTTTGGGGGGGCTGAAGAAATGTACCCACTTGCAGTGTTGTTGTGACGTCGTGGGACATTTTACCAAAGTCCGTCGCAGAACATTACCGTGATAACGGTGATATCTAATTACGGTCGTATCACTGTTAATTTGCTATTATTTTAATTATTATTTACTTTTTTTATTTGTAATCTCTGTGTTACCGCCGATCCGGCTTAATTATTGTATTATACAAAATTAAATTGTTCAAATCTTATTATTATATTTCTAGCAGTGGTAGTGTGGAGACGTCCACCGTTATTATTATTATTGTATTATTATTTCCGGATAGTATTGCCGATCCGGCGTACTTATTATTATGTGAAATAATTATTAACATATATATATTAGTGCTCTGCATGGTTCGGTCTTAACATAAGCAAACTATTGAATCGTCGGTTTGGTAGAGTTCAATGTTTTTTAGGATTAATTTGGTCCAGTCCTCAGATAAAATGCAATATTGTCAGTCCCGTCCGGTTTCAAAAAAAAAATTTATATCAGTTCGATTCGGTCTCAGTCCGGTCTATCTCTCGGTAATTATTTCTTAAAATCTAAATAAGATATTGTTATGACATTGTAATACAAATAAATGATAAACACCAAATAAAAACGTACAACTATAGGTATTAGGTAGGTATATATATTTTATTTATAAAGTGATTACACTGATTACTAAATGTCTGTTCTCCGTAAATATTATTGGCTACCACCCGTTACTGACGTGAAGGTCGAAGGATATAATTTTATTTTTATTTATAGAATTCATAAATTGTAATACATTAATACGTAATTTCAGGAAATTAATCGATATTATACTGAATATTATATAGCATCGTACCATTCGTACCTATGTGCATTGTATTAATATTGGTTTGAAATGTTTGAATGTGTTAGATGATCCAAAAATAACTAATCATTTGGATAATACGTAGAAAATAATACAGTCTATCGTCATACGGTCAGCTTTTATAGAATCGTCGGTCACGCAATACGATAACGATAATCTATAATATTATATTATTTTAATATATGAGTGGCAATCAATAATATTATAAACGACTAGAAAACCTATCGTTTTGATCTAACAGCGACACAGCGTTATCACTACGCTCAAATGCTCAATGCGACCAACACGTGTTGTATTTTTGTGTTCATTGATCATTCTTTTTCATCATTATTCATTACATGTTCGTGACTTTATGTTAAAAACGTCAAAACGGTAATTACTACTCGAACGATCACCTAGATAGTACATGCTTACTGGCTATTGCATCCATTGGATTGATAGGTAAGTCTATGTTTTATAATTATTTAAAAGTTTATTATTATTTATTACATTTACTTAATTATAAAAATGTATAAACTTATTATATGACTTAAACCATTAACATTCATAATAATTATACAATTTATAGTATATCTGAAAATATGTTTCTGTTTATAATGATATTATATAATATACGTTTCAATTTAATTCATTTTTGTCATTACTCGTTACTCGTTTGTCTTTACTCTATTTGTTAACTAGTAGAATTTTCATTTTTTTGTTGAAATTGGGAAATACTACCATACTACTATTGTAGCGAACTTAGTGTTACAGTTTATTGAGATGGGTTTGGTATTTAGTATGTTGTATGTACCTAGTACCTACCACCACAAATTGAAATACTATAAGAAATTATTGTTTGCACAAGACACAAGTACTGTGTCTGTTAGTTTTTAAGTTTAAATTTTAGAATATATTTGAGTGATTTGAAAATGTAAAATAATTTTTAAGCGTATTACTGTTATTTATATGCCTAATATGAATATCTCATTTTAGATTTTGGAAAATGAAAATACTCACTTTGTGAATGAACAGTTATCTACTAATCTTACCAAATGTATAGGTAAATATTGACATATTATTTATATTTAATTATTAATTATTACAAAATAAATTTAGTTACCTGTACATTTATCACAATAAGTATTTTATGCCTATAAAAAAAAATGCCAATATTATGTGTAAATATAAATTTTAAATTTATGGATTAGACATTTAGACATAGTAACTATATTTATTTTTTACTTATATGATAAATATTTATGGACATATTGAAAATGTTAATAATATTTAGAGGTTGTAAAGAAAATAATTTCTAATTCAATTTAATATTATATTGGAATCATCACTTTTGAAATTCCTTGCCTAGGACCTCACTTATAAGTTTTTGTTTATTATTTGTTGTCATTTAATTATTAAATTATTACAAGAGACCACTGTGAAATACTTCTATCATACTATAATATTGACTATTTATTTTGAGAAAATATTTATTTTTTTGTCATCCAGAGAAAATTCCTTGAAAAAAGCATTACTTGTAATAACAAGTAATTAATATTATTAGATTTGTTACTCATGTGATTATCAATTTTAACTCTTTATGATCTTCCATTCAAGTATCAGCTAAATAATTTATAAGCATTACCTCGAATACCACAAAAGAACAATAGTTTATTTAATAAAATATTATGGTCAACAGAATTTAATGCTTTTCTAATAGGTATCAAGGAAAACACCTAATACATTCTGATTATTATCAATATGTCCATAAGTTAATTTAGTAGTACTAAACATAGCATTGTTGGTTGACATATTGTCCCTACTGTCAAATTAATTTTTGTGAAAACAGTTCTTTGTCTAAGAATTCATATATTGATTTGAATTTTGTTTAATACATTAAAAATACATTATTCTACACGAAAAAAACCAATATATTCTTAAAACAATAAGACATACCAAATTGTACAACATTTTTTTAACCTCAAATTCTTTATTTTTATACAGTATGCAATATGTGATTTAAACATTTGGTATACAACTTTATTCATAGATTAAATGTCGAGAAAGCTTATATACCCCCAATTGGCAGTTACATCTGCATATTCTCAATAACAACATACAAATCAGGTCTCTAGTAATATTTGTTTTTCATCAATTAAATATTCACTATATATCTCCAAGTGACAGGCTCATAGCCAAACTAAATCTTTATGTGAGGTACACTAGATTTTAGTTTTGGGGCAATAAAATGCATACCTTATTAACAATAACATACACTACAAACATACAATTAATAAGTATTTGTTGGAGTAGATTAGTTGATGATTAGGTTCAGTGTCCATGACTAGTAGTACTGTTTCATTGTTAATATATTGATAAATTGCGTACATAGTAAAAATTAGGTTATAATTGTATATTAAAAAAAATATATATACTTTTTAATTTCAGAATATGGATAATTCTCAAGACATTAGAGATCTTCTTGACAGATCACTTTCGCCTGTTCTGACACCTGAAGACTTAATATTCAGTATAGGAAGTAGCAGTACTCAAATATTAGCTCCGTCGAGTCGGCTTGCTAATAGCGCTTCGACGCTCCGGCGGTGTCGGACCTGAGGCGCACGACCGCGCAGACTCACCTAGGACACGCGCTCACCCGCACCGGGAAAGGCATACTTGAGGAAGGACTCGTGGTGGTTGTGGAAGTACCGCCTTAGTAGAAGGGGTTTGACTCAGGCGATAATCCGTCGGGCCCTGGCCGCGGTGGTCATTTATTATGGCGCCCAAGGTGAGGCGGTGCCCTGGGCGGGACCCCCGGAGCCATCCGGGGCTACCGCCCGGAAGAGATAACCTCGCGGTTATACAAAGGGGCGAGTGTCTCCGGGGTAACCCGGAAGAACTGTTCTACCCCGCAACACACGGAAAGATGTAACCAGACATATCATAAGTACAGCTACCAAGATAAGAAAAATATTTTTTAAAGAGGTTTACAGTTTAATTGATGGTAAATACTGCGCTTCCACTTGCGACATGTGGATGGACAATTATAAAAAAACAATTATATGACAATCACAATACATTTTATTGATGATCAATGGTTACTTCATAACCGTATTTTGTATACTAGACAGTACCCTTCCCATGAGACCAAAACTGGTGAAAATATTAAAAAATTTATGATTAATGCTTTTACTCAACTTACTGAGATAGCTGAAGGAAACAACAGTTCAGAATTGATGGATAATTTAACATTTGTAACTGACCAAGGAACAAATATAATAAGTGCATCAAGCAGTTTTAAAAGGCTTAATTGTAGCGCTCATCTGATAAATACTGTTTTAAGAAACCTTTTTGACATAAAATTTTTATCACACACTGACGACAGTGGTTCAGTACCCTTGCAGCCAATAATACATCTATTTAATGAATGTAAAAATTAAGTGAAGTTTATGAAAAGCTCTGGGAAAAACAGTCAATTATCTACAGTCTTGGTTCAGGAAGTCAAGACTCGGTGGAATACAAGATTATTAATGTTAGAATCTATTCAAAGATCTCTACCAGAAATTATTAAAATCCACGGGGAATTTTTTTGTCGGTTACAAAATATAAATAGAGACCTTCTTCAAAGTTTGATTACGTTTTTAAAAATATTTAAAAGTGCATCAGATGAACTTGAAGGTGATAAAAAACCTACAATTCAAAAGGTGGTTCTATTTAAATGTTCGATAAAAAATTAATTAGTAAAATATGCTAACCTTGAGATTAACAATCTCGATGAAGATGTTGAAGTTAATATAGACTCTATTATGAAGATACTGGGGAATAAAGCATTGACTATTCTTGATAATAAATTTCAGTTAAGTGATGTGCATGAAATAGCTGTATTTCTATGGCCAAAATTTAAAATGCTCAAAATGTTTTCAGAAGAAAATGGTGAAAGAAGTCTTATACTTGGTGACATAGAACTTGGACTTTTAAAATTTGAAATTGAAGATGGTGAAAAAAGGGCAAATTCAGTAACAGAAACTAATATCAATTCCAACTCACAAGAACTGACATCAAAAGAAGCCACCATGTTTTCTGAATGGGAAGATGGTGTAGATGAAAGAGCTCAGCAATCAATATACAAGTATAAAAAAGAATTGGAAAGTTATAGAGAAGAAAATTATGACATTAGTGATGACCAAATATTAGACTTTTGGTCAAAACAAACATTACGATTTCCATACTTATCAAAACTTGCGAGACAAATACTGCCTATACCAGCATCCATTGCCAGCAGTGAGCGCTCTTTCAGTGTTGCTGGTAGAGTTATAGAGCAACGAAGAAGCTGTATTGATGGCTCGACAGTTGATGCCATATTATTTTTAAACAGTCACTTTTCTAATACAAAATAAAATAAATAATTATAAAACTTCATACTTAATGCTTTTTAAAACATTTTTTTATTACTAATTGTGTTATTTTGTTCAGTATAAATTGTCAGAAAAGATTGTTGAGACTTCTTTTTTAATATAATTAAAAAGTTGACCGTGTAAATTTGAAGACCTAAAGTATGGTGATTGGTAAGATATTATGTTATATAACATTGTTATTACAGTTAAATAATTTTAACTCTACATTGTTTGTTTTAAATGCTGTACTGGTTTTCATTAACATATTACAGGGTGCGGCATAATGGACTCACACATTTCCGAAATGAATTAAAAAAAAACGATACAAGATAAAGAAAAAAAAATTTTATTTTTAAAAACTATATTATATAAGGTTTTTTTAAAATTATTTTTTAAAAATTATATCGTCTAAATGATTGCCTTGACGAGCAACGCACATATGGAGCCGTTCTTGAAAATTTTCCATCACTTTCGCCAGCATATCGAGTGGAATCGCGGAGATTTCTTGACGGATGGCCTCTTTTAGTTCTTCAATGGTTCTTGGTCGATGTTTGAAAACTTCAGCTTTGAGGTATCCCCATAAGAAATAATCACATGGGCTCAAATCAGGGGAGCGAGGAGGCCATGTAATGTTTTCCCTTAAGGAGATCAAGCGACCAGGAAACATTTTTTGCAATACAGCACGAGAACAACCGGCTCTATGAGTTGTAGCCCCATCCTGTTGAAACCAGAAGACATCATTATTTTCGTACTCTTCGATTTTCGGGCGTAAAAAGTTCTCCAACATCTCGCAGTACCGGTTGGAAGTTACAGTAACTGTAACATCACCCTCTTCAAAAAAATAAGGCCCCACGATGCCTACCGAGGACAAAGCACGCCAAACTGTTACTTTAGGACTATGAAGAGGTTGTTGGTGTATTTTTAGAGGGTTTTCAGCAGCCCAATAACGAAAGGTTAGGAAATGTGCTTCGTCGCTACTCCACACAATACCGTTGGGAGGCACAACTTTAAGGATTGCATTACAGCAATCTTTTCGTTTTTCCCAATCTGTTGGACTTAATTCTTGAGTTACCATAATCTTATATGGGTGTAATTTAAGATCACAGTGCAAAATTCGCCTTACCGTTCGATCCGATATCCCGAGAGCAGAGGCATGTTTCCGAGCAGAACGCGACGGAGACTGCTCTATCGATGTTCTTACTGCGGCAATGTTTTCCGGTGTTCTCACGGACTTGGGACGTCCAACCGGTTTTTTAGGCATTGCAGATCCTGTTGCTCTTAAATTTTGTACCCAATTCAAAATCGTTTTCCGATCAGGGACACTTTCGTTTGGATTCAAACTGAACCGAGTGCGAAATGCTCTCTGTGTCGCGATCACACATTCAGCGTTTTTGAAAAATACCTCAATAACGAAACCACTTTGTTCACCAGACCACGGCATGATGACGACTAAAAATCTTATTAATAATCTAATCTAGCGAAATAAACCACTTTAATTTAATCAGTTTAATTACGCGCTAATGATTATTTGAAATATGGGAGTCCATTACGCCATACCCTGTACCTAGTATATACTAATATCATATCGGTGTCATTCACTTATACGTCTAATGACTTATACCAAAGTTTAATCATATACATTTTTAATGCATTTGTATGTAAGTACTAGGTAGTAACATTGATTATAAATACTATAGATCAGCGGTTCTCAACCTTTTTGAGTTCGCGACCCCCTATAATGTCACCAAGATGTCTAACGACCCTTTTGTAAAGTAAGCATTAAAAAATTGAATTAACTGTTATTGTATTTATTTATGTATATATTTTACAAAAAAAGTAATTAATTCGACTTACAGATAATTTTAAATAAATAGATAATATAATATAAAATTTAAATTTTTTTCGTCTTAAATATTTTACAAAAAAAGTATACTATGTTATTTGAATATTTTAATTTAATGACGTGTTTGTTCTTGTTGATTTGAAATAATTTTCAATCTTAGCTCAATAGATT